TTTGACAACCACCCATATACCCCTACATACACCAAAGAAAACATATCGATTTACCTGCCAACTCTCGCAGAGTTCACAACTAGGCATCAATCCCCAAGTCCCCTTCAACCCAGTAGGTAGCGCTCCGCCATACCCCAACCCTAAACCCCTGAATCGCAAACCCCGAACCCCAAACTCCAACGCCTAAATCATGAAAACCCTACACTGCAAGCCCAATCCCTACACCCTGAACTCAAAACCTGAACCCTATGCCTGGATCAGGTTCACACCAAGCTTTTCAAAGCGCTCGCGGCCGGGCACTTCCTGGTTTCTTGCGGTGGTAGTCCACGGGGGTGGGCGGCGGCAGCGGTGGTGGTGGTAGGTGTGGTGGGCATAGCAGCAGCTGCAGCACTACCAGCACCACCAGTACCAGCACCACGAGCAGTAGCCGTTGCTGTAGCCAGAACAGCAGTAGGCAGCAGTAGTAGTAATAGCATTAATCATAATCATAATAAAAAGTAATAGCCATAGAATAACAGAGTAGTATTGTAACAAGTAATTTCAAATTAGCAAAACTGTTTGTAGTAGCAGGAGGAGGAGTTGTAATAATAGCATTGTTCTCATCATAACATTAAAAGAATAATAGCAGTAATAACAGGAGTAGCAACCATACTAGTAGTGGTGGTGGTAGTATTAGTAGTAGCAGCAGCAGCAGCAGCGAAAGCAGTAGTGTCGCAGTGGTCGTGCTGGCAACCGTGTCTCTTGGTGGCTTAACTAAATGCTGATTCTAATACTGCTCTATATCGGGACCATTGTATCCCTGCTTACAATTCAAAACATTACTCAGTAGTCACGTGCAGTGCATCCCATTACAAGTAGGTTTGGAAATGATACATACCCATGAACCTCCAGCTGGAAAATTTGCAGACAGTTCTTGGGCAGAATATATGGATTGTTGGGGACGATGGTCAGAATTGCTCAAGCCAGGAGGAAGGCTCGCTTAGGACCTAGGGCCCGTCGAGACATATCGTGGGCTTATTCAGGCTAAGTCGGTCATTGAAGGGCAAACATCTGGATGTTGTGCAGACTTTGGGCCGCCTATAGACCGTGCAGAAAGATCAGAAGGGCTCCTAAAGCATAATTGGGCATCCTCGAAGTGAACCACGATCATGTCTGCGTTGGGCCTCAACCCATTCCTTGGTGAAGGATGGCGAAAATCAAACGCGTTTCATGACTACCTTAAACTGGACCCCCCCTCTAGCAGTGGGTTGCGAGTCTCCTTTTCCGAATTCTGAATTCCCCTGCCACCAAACCCCACTCCCTCTGATATCGACATTGTTGGAAGGAGATGATGTGGGCGTTTCTTGAAAACTTGCCACGGAACCGTCCCAAATCCGCTTTTCATTGCAGGTAGAACAAAAATCAACAAAAAAACAATGTTCAGGACGTCTGTACATACTCCGATAAGTATTAGTATGGCCACTAGTCTTCACTCCAGGGACCGAGCGTAAAGGCTCCCTACTAGACCCTCAAGGCCCCAAAGCTTGAACCCAAACCACAAAGCCAGCCGCTGCTTACCCACATCTTACAGATGCGGCCAGTTGTCAAAATGATGATGCCTTTTTGGGGGTCCTCGTTATAACACGGCATACGGCCTTTGACAGCCACCGGTGCAACGGAAGAACCCAGAAATGTGGCTAAGACCTTTTATGACACAGGGGAGGGGAGTAAGGGCAGTAAGGATGAGAAAACAGGGAAGCTGCATCAGAACGAGACTCTGCTGGATGTACCATGCATTGACCAAGATTGCACACGCGTAGTTCTCAAGTTCGAGGTGCTGTCCGGCCAAATACCAGGCATAGGCCACGCGGCCTGTTGCGTTGGCTTTTGGGGGCTGGCCCCGCGGCATCACCAGTCTTTCATTCCAGCCTGTAATGACCCAACCTCTGCTTGACACCAGGCCAGGCGCGGTTTGAACGGGAGCTGCAGTGGTAGTACCAGCCGCCAAGAAAGGAGCAGCCAGTGCAGTGTTGACTCCCGACTTTGCCGCAGTAGCAGTCGTCTCAGCGGTTGTCGTTGCCCCCGTTGCTGTTTCAATTGCCTGCCCTGCCTCTACCACCTTGCCTGCAGGCTTGTACTTGGCTGGTGCAAGGAGGGTGAGAGCAGGAATCGCGGGTGCGGCAACGCGCGGCGGCATTGTCCCTGAAGGCTTCGCAAAAGTTGCCACAACAGACGCAGCCACAGGCGATGCCGCAGGGGGGATAGCTAGCGGAGCCATAAAATGTCTCGCTGTGGGGGCTGTGGTGGTTGGCGCATGATGAGGTTGGAAGGGAAAAGGGTTATGGCGCAATGCCTCAGGAAGGGCTGCACCAGCGCCAACAGATTGGGTCCACCTTGGTGTCGCAGCGGCTGCACGGAGCTCTTCCTCATCGTCAGCAGTTACCATGCGCAGAAAGGACTTCGAGGCAAAAGCATCCGAAGCTCTTCTCGGCTCTCCCCGCTGCCAGCTGGACTGATCTGAAACTGTTCGCGTGCTGAATCCAGCCAACACAAGCGCGGTCACAGAAAGACCGAACAAGAAGCGTAGCACAGAAGAGAACACCCCTGCGCCCATCACTCTCGAGCCATGCATGATGCCAGATCTACAAAGCCTCTTGTCTTAGCTGCAGAGTAGTCGAATGGGCTGGTGTGCCTTTACTTTGCATTCTAGAAACCGCTCGTTACGAATTACGCCTTACTGTCTGCGGATGCATTCCCGCTGACATGCACGTGTCACATTAGTCATTAGTCGGAACCATGACATGGCAGAAAAAAACCTTTGAGCTTGTGTCACTACGCTCAAGGCCCTACGCTAGACCGTCTTGATCCAGGGGCTGGCCAATGGATACTTGATACCAAAGCAAGAGAGTTCGCTCGGCTCAGCCTGTCAACTTCCTGCTGTAAACAGAGTCGCGCGAGACATCTGCACATGTAGTTGGGCAAATCTTGGGGTCTCTCAAGCTGGGTAGGCATGACACGCAGCAGAGGCCGGTTTTAGGGATCCCCATTAGCACTGCGTGCCTGCTCGTCCTTGTGCGTGCCGCTGATTGTACCCTCCAGCACGATGACGTAGCGCATGCCTGCAGCGAGCTTGAAGAATCCTGCTCTCATCCCCGGATAATCCCTATATAATCCCCCAATCCCAATGGGGTATAGACTGGGGTTATATAGGGATAATGGAAAAGAAAATGGAAACCACTATCGTATTTGCTGTGCTTAGTACGGCATGAAGGAAAGCCTCCCTTACATAATCCCCATCGAATACTTCTCCCACGTCATCCTTGTTAAGTATCCTGGTGTGTACCACGGGAGGTAGGATCATGAGACTGAAATTTCGGAGCCGCCTTAGGAGCCTGGACGGAGCTCAACTGAACATGGGGATTTTGCATCATGCGAGAGAAACCGCCTCTGCACAGTAGTACTTAACTGCCACCCGATGGCAAAGATGGAAATTGGAGAAAACCGTGTGCGACAGTCGGGCAGCATACAGCCAAACAAAAAGACATTCTCTCCTCAACATACATTGCACGTAGCCCCTTCCTCAAATGAAACTAGGGATGCCCTTCATATTGCCAAATGAAGTAATGCCCACATGTGCTACCTGTGAGGGGGGACCTCTGTTGTCTCATGGAGGGGATTAATCCATCGTCCGCTGAGACAACTAACAGTAGCAACTCATGGCACAGCCTCCTCATGTTGCGTAATCACCATAAACAAAAGCAAAGTAAAAGTGTAGTACGCAGTCGTCGTCGCCGCTGCTGTGGTGGTCACGGTCAGAGTAGTAGTAGTAGTAGTAGTAGTAGTAGTAATAATGATAATAATAGGAGTAGTGGTAGTACTAGGAGTAGTAGTAGTAGTAGGAGGAGGAGGAGGACTAGGCGGTATTTCAAAAAACTCCTGAAGAAGCTCGCACGGAAAGCAGAGCTGAGGGCACAGCACAGTACGACAGAGAATGCTGGCAGGCACAACATGTCTGAGGCCTGCGATGGGGGAGGGGAGCCCCCTGACAAGCAAACTCCTCTCTTGCGGAAGCGTGCTTTGACGGCACGGACCCGAAGCGCGTAGGACAGATGCCAACACAGCCTTGTTGACACTGCTCGCCACATGCAATCGAAGATGCACGGTAGCAGGGTTTGGGCATAGAAGCTCGGCTCACCATATTCACTCGATAATGCAAGTAAGTTGTCATGATCTGGGCATGGATGCTCTGCTAGCTGCATGCTCTCCAGAAGGTGGGCATGGACGGTTTGTTACTTTGAGCATGGTTGCTCAAGTCATCGCATGCTCTCGAGAGAGCGAGGCATTTTTTGTTGCAGGGGCCCAGCAATTCGTAGCAGTAGTAGGTGGTGGTAGTAGTAGTAGTAGTAGTAGCTGTCAATAGTACTACCTATTACTACTTCTCCTCTTCCTGGGGCTACTACTAATAATGACAATGACAGAAAATGAGCTATCTAGGCAAACTCCAGCATGCAACAGGTCCCCGGGCCGTCTGGTAGAGCCGCTCCTGCTTGAAGATCTTTGATGACCTTCAGCTTCCACATGTACCCTTGCGGCCGAAATAACCAGAATAAAGCCGTAAGCTACGTTCTACTACGACGAGGCTCCTTTTTCTGGGACATTCAGGTACACGCCTTATGTGTTGCCACCTTTGGTTTAAGGGAAGGGGCCGGCTGCATATGGGTTGTTCTCAAAGCTATGGGCCCCGCTCATTTGGGGATACCAAGTTGGCCCATAATTTTAGGACTACCCATATGGATGATATCAGCCTCCGACGCTTAAGAAGATGGATTCGCATGCCGCTAGGAAGGCTGAAAAGGTCACGCCTCTCCCAGCTCTGAAAATAGAAAATGAGGTGATGCCAAACTTTACTAGGAGTCAATTCGCAAAGTCAATGTCTGTGTCGGAATCAGCTGCTGCTTACCTGCAAAACTCAGTTTCTCGAAGCATTGCCGTAGCCTCCTGCAATGAGATGATTGTCTTCCAAAATTGTGCTATCTGTACAGTGCGTCCAGAGTGAGGTAGATTTCAGGCAACATCCATAATAGAGGCCTCTAATTCTTTAGAGTCACCACAAGACCCCCGTCAGTGGGGCTGCAGGCTTCTGCGTCGCCAGGAATGCAATCCCCTGCCCCAGACTTGAATAGTAACTGGCTTCATCCTTTTACGTGATTTTCTTTCAGGGAGGGGCTAATTCAAAACGGGCCAGAAATGATCAAGCGCACCTCCGAAGAACAGGACAAACAGAATGCATCCAGCAAATGACCTGAGGTTCCCACCACTGATTTTGCGATGTCGTTTCTCTGAGTGGATGAGAACTGCGACATCACGGGACACGCCCTGCGAGGCGCGACCCTAAACACCAAATTTTGCAAACAGGTGTGCGGTGGACTGGTGGTTAGGAAGAAGCCTAGGGTTTAGGGTTGAGCGCTTTGGGTTTATGAGTGGATCCCTGTAGTAGTAGCTACCATCTCCCTTGATATGTCCCCTTTAGGCGCAAAGGGCTCAAGAAGAAAAGCCTTGGAACCTCAAAACCAACTAGCCCGAGGCGCTCGTAATGTCTTAAGAGGGATAGCACCCAATCCCTGGCTTACTCCGTGGTACCACAGCCCCCTACATCCTAAAGGCCTCTGATTTGCATCCTAGCTGGTAAGGTTTCCCCACATGTGGGGAGCAGGGCCTACATGAGACTTCAACACTAACTGAACCTTATCTTATCACACCCTTTCACTGCTTGAATGCGAGCTCTCACTTATGCTTGCAGTGCTCATACAGCCGTGTCTAGTTATGCATGTGCGTAACAGACCGAGAGTTCAGATACATCCACACATATCCCAAGACAGTAGACGCCACTTGATCAGGCGGCCCGTGCACCAAATGATCATTCAATGCCTTTAGGAAACACTTTTAGAACCAGAGGGTTATTGCCACTTATGTGCCCGGAAGCATCGCAAGATAACAATTCCAGCTGCGAGGCAAGGAGGGCTTAGGCATCCTAAACGATGGGTGGTTGTCAAAATTATGGTCCTTTGTGGGATCCCTGTTATAATCCGGCACCTACAGTAATATTTAGGTACCCAAAAAGGGACCATAATTTTGACAACCACCCCGATGTCATCAGCATAGAATTGAACATGCAACGATACGGCATATTCAAGTCGTTTAGGGCTTTGTTTGGGCTGTCTGAAGACCTGAAGCTTCCCACAAAACCCCAGGAGTTTGAAGACTGTTTCGGAACCTCTCTGTGGCTTTGCGGAAACCTTGGTAGGTTTGGGGGCCCTGTCAAACTTATTTATTCTTGCTTTATAAGGGTTGTATAGGAAAGGTAACAAAGTTTCATATATATATATATACATACATATATACAATCAAACCTACTCCTGGAAACCCTGTAAGCTCAACTGTACTGAGCTATAATCTAAACTCCTAGCATTCCCCTTAATTTATCCCCTACAGTAGTCCGCTCTATACTCCCCTTCATAAGTGCCTTTTAAAGATTTTAGACCCTAAGCCACAAAGCCTAATCCCTAAACCCTAACTAAACCCTAATCCCTATATAACCGCCCCCTTTAAGGAGTTTAGACCCTATACCCCCCACCCTACCCCCTATGCAACCACCTTTTAAGAAGTTTAGACCCTATACCTTACACCCTAATCCCGATGTGACCGCCTTTTAAGGAGTTTAGGTTTAGACCCTATACCCTAATCCCGATGTAACCGCCTCTGAAAAAGTTTAGACCCTACACCCTTAACCCTAATCCCTATATAACCGCCCTTTAAGGAGTTTAGACCCTAAAACCTATATAACCGCCCTTTAAGGAGTTTAGACCCTAAACCCCAAATCCTAAATCCCTAAACTCTAAATCCCTAAACCCGAATCCCTAAACCCATACAGTTTAGCTCACTGGCCTCAGGCCCTTCTGTACCAGGGCAGACTCGAGGATGCCGCCCAAGTCATTGCCCAAGACCTCCTTCAGATCCTGCCATGGTCTAGGGTTTAGCGTTGAGGGTTTAGGGCCGCAGGTGGGGATTTCAGAGTAGTAATAACAAGAATAGAAATCAGAAAATGGTAGTAATAATGAGAGTAATGCTATTAAGTAATAATGATAGTACTAAGAGTCATAGAAAATCATAACATTAGGGCCTGAGGGTGTATGAGTTCAGGTGTAGGGTTCAGGATGAAATCAAAGGTCTCGGAACCAATTGCGCAAAGGCCGAAGGCCCTCGCGATGGGAGAGGTGCTGCGAAGAACGATCGACAATCTCATCGAGCGCGACAGACTCTAGCCTCCCTGATTTCATGGAGCCGGTCATGTTCAGGAGCAGAAGCACGCGAAGAAACATCCAAATACGAATGCTTGGTGTTCACAGAACTTCTCTAAAACACAGAAGCTTTAGTCTTTAGCCGTCCCTCAGGATTGGATCCCGGGCCCTTTGCCCAGTGGCTCGTCAACACTCCTCTTCCCACCATCTGGGACGGCACCCATACTTTTACTGCGTGTTAAGCAAAAAGCCACATTTGAGGCGCTTTCCATCTCCTCAGGAAGATCTAGATGAAAATCAGCTCCCCGGTCAAAACCAAGCGCAGCCTCTATGCAATCCCCACAAGGCAAACTCCCGTAGAATCCTACTTTGAGGGACCCAGAGTTAGGAAACAGAACAAATCCCTTGAATAATCTGATACTACCCCTACTAACTCGTAGCTTCCCCGACCCCTTAGTCACCCCAGGGTCTCAGAAAGTAGGAGATCTAGGACCCTTTTGGGGGGGTCTGGGCGGCCCTTCCCCTCCTAAACCCTAAACCCTAAACCCTAACCCTAAACCCTAAACCCTAAACCCTAAACTGAAGTCCTTGACGCTGATACAGAGCAGCTCCGTCCTGATGGCGGCACTTACCATCTGGGAGCTTCTCATGAGGAACCAAATAAAACCACGCGGTTTAGGGTTTAGGGATTCGAATCTCTTGGGATTCCTTGATAGAAGGTCTCCAAGGGTGCCCAACTTTGGAGAAGAAACAAACATCTGGGTGCTTATGTTGCCAGAACCAGCTCAGGAAAGCAGCAACATTAGCAACGTCATGCTATTTGTGAACAGAAAACATGTGGGCAAGCTGGTATACTCGTATTTCGCACCCTCATGCGATCCCCATACCCCGAAATGCCTGGATATCTTTACATCGACGCTGCCGAAACGAGCCACCACCCATCTACTTACCTAGCCGGAGCTTCGTGGGCAGCATAAGCTCTTCACCTACTTTGTAGCTGCACATGAAACTCCAGGCAGAAGTATTCTTGGCGGGCTAAGCTCTCCGAGCCCCTCACTTGGCGTCGGCAAGGAGAGTATGGTCCCAGCTGGGGCGCTGTTTCTGGCCTCAGAGATAGGCGAGAAACGGCGTAGGATTGGCAGGTTTCTCGGTGCTCTACGCTTGCAAGGATCTCGATAGCTACGAGGTGCTGAGTGACGTCGTATCTCAAGTTTTGTTACACATGAGGCGGCCCAGAAACAAGCACCAAGGGATAAGATACCATGGGCAGGATGACCGGTGAGAAAGGACACTCTTGCAGCATCGGTCGACTGATGTCGGGAGCCCGGCGGATGCTGCTTGAAGCGAGCGGCCGGAAATTGCTGGTGAGTACAGCATTGGGACGACACAATGAGAAAAATATTTTCCAACCTCCTAGAGATTCATCTGGAAAGTTGTGGTGGCCACTTCTGCCACAAATCCCTAAGTCCGGTCCTACACGGAATACCAGAAAGAGCAACCACAACCACAAGAACAGCCTACCAGCCTCAGGTTCGAGGCTCATTTGTTCCTATTGCTGCTCTCATAGGTGCACGAACAGCATCTGAAAAGTAAAAGTGTCGAAGCTGCCTGGTGCTCAAGCAGAACTACTCTCGACGGGAGGTTTCTCATTCCATACTCACGCGACATATGTGGATTCCATACTGGTACTCACATCGTGCAGAAATTTCCTGTTCATCCTGAAAAACATTTTGCTGCTGCTGCTCAAACTTGGAGAAAACCAGTTTTTTACAGAAAAGAAGAGGAAGGAGTTCATAGCCACGCCACTCAGCAGCAGTGCTGCGCCGATGTATTCCCCGGACGAGAGCTTCTGCGCCTGGCCACGAAACCCTCTTCCGGCTACACGGGGATTTCTCAAAACAGCGAGGATCTAGGGATCGCAGTAGTATATAAGGATGACCAGAGGATCAATGTGGTCCCCATTAAGGATTACGTGTGCATCGTTTGTGAGGAATACCCAAGTCTCAAGATACAGGTCAACTTTCAGCATGCAGGGAGGATTCATATTGCTCATTTCTGGCTGCCGAGTCACAAGTTCAGCTGCACGCTATGGAAAACTCTGTTTTGCAAGCCCGAAAGCGGACCGCAGTTTCGATGCAATCATGAGAATATCTTGAAAATGAAGTGTCCTTTGCTGCGCGCATTTGGTCAGGCGCTCAAATCCAACGACGTCAAGGCCTCCTCCCCGCCCTCGAACTTGCCATCAGCCTTCCTCGGGGGCGTTGTCGGCATTTTCTGTCAGCTGTCAGTCTCTCTTCGGGCTTCAGGGTTGGGGGGTTCCTTCTCTAATTTGGGCCGTGGAAGCCCGCAGCAAGCTGCAAAATTGCGTGCGAAGACTGAAGCTCCCGCACGAACAAAAAATCAATGAAAAGGAGACCTTACACACTACGCCCCTTGAAAACAGAAGCCTTGGATTACATGCTGGCTGACATGGGGGCTCCCACTGCTTCAACTGAAGCCAATAGTAATATCATTAATACCAACAATATAGTAATCATATGAATGAATAATACTAATAATATGAACAATAGTGATTCTAATACTGTAGTGCAGTTGAGCAGCACTTCTCCGCCCGACATCACAGATAGGCCGCCTCGCTTGACCTCAGTGGTAGGGCAATATAAGATTATATTGGGATGATGGAAAAGAAAATGGAGACTATAGGAATTATAGGGGTTATATAGGATTTAAATAGGGATTATAGGGGATATATTAAGGTTATATTGGGATAATGGAAAAGAAAATGGAAACTACTGTAATACAATAGGGTTTATATGGGGGTTATATTGGAATCTCCCCCAGGCCCAGAAACCTTCAACTTGTACAGAGCCCTTAAACCCAGACCCCCTAAAGGATCCAAAAAATGGAACCCCCCCCAATATGAACCCATTACTACATTGGGGAAACTGGGGGATTATTAGGTGGTTCCATTTTTTGGATCCTTTAGGGGGTCTGGGAACGTTCGTCAGAGATCAGGTATGCGCAGAACATTCTAACCCTCATAGAAAGTGGCACTACCCTAGAAAGGGATCACCACTTTGGGAAACACACATTTCCAAATCCTACATGAGCCCAACACGAAACCTACACAAGGGGTAAACAAACGCAGGAACCGCACCGCACCACGAAACGAGACCACAATGTAAGGGCACCTTCCTTCATCAATCCTCCAATCCATCTCATGGGGCTAGCCCAAATCTCCCAACACAGAAATACTCTCAAACCATGACCATGACCAGCCATGCGGCGAAGTAGATCGCAGCCAGGGACTCCCCTTGAGTCGCCACGCGCTGTCCGGCCTGTCCAGGATTGTCATGAAGTGCATGGGCAAGTAGAAGCAGGATTACAAGCAGCGCAGACCAAGGTAGAAATATGGCTATCTCACTCAAAATCCCAGACCTAGCTGCCCACGAACCTCTGGCTCGGATTGTTGTTCCTACCCGCCTAGCATTTCAGGCTGCAGAGTGGGAGGTCGCAATACTCCTGAATCGTGAAAAAACGGTGAGTTTTTAGGAAACCCTTTCAGCTCTGAGGCATCATGCCTGGACGGTAACCATGTTGGGGACTATGCCCAGTGCTTCCTGCTGGGAACCCTCAAAGCACAATACCGCAGAACGGCCTCGAAGGCCTCGGAGAATGCCGACAATGCGATCTGGTCCTGATGCCAGGGGAAACAGGGAACATAGGAACCTGGGAGCAAAGGCTCGCAGGCACAGCAGAAGTACAAGCAGGCTAAGGTAGTGCTGGCACCCCACATCTAAACCAACCTAAGATTTCCAAGTCCATAAATATCAAACTTCAGGACTGCTCCCCCAACATGCGCAGAAGTGCCACTATCCGCAGGATAGCGACCCAAATTGAAGAACCCACAGAGCGGGCATGCAACATGAAAAGTCTCAGGTCTGGGAGTCAAGGATTGACGATCTGCACGGAGAATAAAACTATAGAAGCCTAATGCCTTAGACCAGGACAACCGCCATTTCCACATACTCTACTGGACTTATGATGGCACATATCACTCTCTGAACCCTCGGGTAGGGCTTTCAGAAAAGATAAAACCGCACGCCCGAAAACCTGGATTCCTGAGCACTACTTCAACATCAAGTAACCCTACATCCAAATACCATACAAGATGCAGATCTGGCACCCTAAGACCCCAATACCCTACAACACCTACTCACCCCCTTCCCAAAACTTCATGATCTCACCCTGCTTCAAGCCAAACCCTCCGCCCTCAGAAGAAACCAGAACCTCAGGGAGCATTGTTTTATGTACGGTTCTGTTGTCTGAATTCAAGAGCCCGCTTTTCTGGCTCTCGGTATCTGGCTTTCCTGCACGGGTTCCCGAATCTCATGTACTGTTTCTGACCATGCTTTACGAATGCGTGAGTGATCGGAACCACAACGTCTCGCAACATCTGCCTCATCCTTGTGTCTCGAAACTTGCAACATGACGGCCACCATCGAACGTTAGTCCTTCTGCTTCTGATTGAGGCCATCGAAGACCTTGATGGAGTCTAGGAACTTGAGGTTGTCAGCCTGCCACCGCTGTGGTTTACACTTAAAGCCTTGGGCCCTGCAACCTTTTGCCGCCAGTGTTTGCACTCACCTTTCACGACTCGCCTTCGCATCGTAATGCAAATGCAGTGCAGGAATATTTCCAACAGCCATTTCACTTCCTTGGAGAGACCTTGACAGACCGTGCCCGATGTCACGGCCAGGTGTGTGTCACAAGTTCTTGAGCATTGTCTTCCACAACCCAACTTCTTGGTATGTTCATCACAACACCCCAGCAAGACGAAGGTGCCTGGCGGTTGGCGGCATTCTGTGCGAGCACCTGGTCAGGAAGCTCCAAACTTTGCTGCTGCTAGGCACAGTATTTGTTGTAGGGTCCCTGGACAGAACGGCATCCCTTCCACCACAAATGCATACATCCAACCCTGGACATCATCATCATCCCTCGCCTGCTTGAAGTTGTTGCCATTTGCTCCCCAAACACCGGCTTTGCTCAACGCCTGTACCGTGGCCGTCCTCACACACGGTTTCTCTGCATGCAGACTAACCTGATATCATCACAGCTCACGGACAGAGCACTTGTGCTGCGTCTGGCAAATACTTTTTGCAAAAAAAGCACCGCGAGCCCAAGCCTGGCAAATGGTCAGGGCATCGCTACTAGGATTACTTCGATGTCCTCTCTGCAGGATGTTGCCCTGGAATTCCTGTACTATTAATAGGGGGGTTTTGGTAACCCCAACCCCCAAAATTAGGACCCTAGAACCATCATATGATAGTCACAGGGTCCTAACTTTGTGGGTTGGGTTTACCAAAACCCTTTATTAGTCATGACCTCATTAAACCCACAACCATGAATCTTGTCATGCGCTCCGGGGGCAGTTGTACAGCAAAGCCAAGCCTGACAGCCAATTTGCAGGTTTCTGAAACTTGGGAATTCTTAGGGTTTAGGGTTTAGGGTTTAGGAGTTTGGGAAATATACCGGGTGGCGGTTAAGGAACTATAAGAAGGACCCCCTCTTGCGTAGTACGTGCCCATTTTATGGTAACTTGAAGCAAGTTCCTTAACAGCAAACCAGCAGTTATTCATACTCAGGCTATAATCAAAAAGTGTAGGGGGATCCCCATCAAGGATTGCACAGGGAAGGCTTTGGGAAGCTCAAATCTCCCACAAAGTTTACGTTTTGTTGCTGGATCTTAGCAGACAAAGGGTGTTGTGAGAGCCTGAGGTCTGACACATGGGTGGTTGTCAAAATTATGGGCCTGTTTTGGATCCCTATTATGATACGGCACCTACCATTTAGGGTACCCAAAAAGGAACCATAATTTTGACGACCACCCATATGATCGAAGTATTCAGAACACTAGAAGCTTCCAGGACGAAGATCAACATGCATGAGCTTGAGGGAATCTGGTCTATTGTCTAGGTCCACTGTCATGCCACCCATCTGAGCCTGATTCTTCGTTCCATTTGAGAAGCCCTCAATTTGAATATCAAAGCCACCCATGACACAGTTCTCACATGAGCACTTCATTTCGTGCCCAAGACCATCAGGGAACTACTACGGATGCAAGACGGTGCTGACAACAAACCGTGTACCACTCGTGTACCCTAGGCCCTAGGAGCAAAAAGGGACGATTGGGCGGGCAAACGTTGGCCTCCAAAGGCCTTGCCCTCCATGAGCGTGTTCACCACGTTGCCTCAGGTTTGCTGTTGCCGCTATAGGGGTTTCCCCCTTTTTTCAGGGGTCCCTGTAATAGGGACTATAGTATATCGGGGTCCTCTTGGGATATCCAGTGATAGCAGCTCCTGGACTCAGCATTAACCCGTAGGGATCCAAGCTACGGCTAAGACAACCCGTTCTCTCTCTCTCGGAAATGTGGATAAAACATGAAGCCACCATTTTTCAAAAAAGCGGGGAAAATGTGAAATGAGTATGGTTGGCCAAGTTTGCATCCGTATTGGTTTCCACCTTTTCCCCTGTGCATTCCACATATTTATCGTATTTTCCCCATGTTTCTGGGAAGTGTCACACAAATTTTGGACATCTGGAATAATGTGAAACAGATGGAAAGCTATGAAACCCTGGTGAGGACTCCAAAACATGGTAGAATATTGGAAAACGTGAAAAGACTATGGAATAGACTATATAACATAGCATGAAAAATCACATGTCGAGGGCTGAAGTTAGCCTCCTGGAATCTTTTGACAGTGTCTAGAGTCTAAAGTTTGTAGAGTCCCCAGCTCAGGAGTCTTCAGACGCTAATTTTTGGACACGTGCCAAGCTTCCATAGACAACACACCGAGCAAACAGTGTCACATATTTGGCATCACATATGCTGGTATTGAAAAAAAGCTCTTCTGTACAATGGTCATACGTGGGCATCGTTCCATGGTGTGGTGCTCTACATACGCCCATGTTATATCTGCTGATGCCGGGGTGCCATTTACGGAGACCTCGAGGGTGCCCGTGTCAGTGACGAAGAAAGTGGTGCCCATCTTCCCCTGCTCCACAATGAGACCTGAGTATACCAGTTACTCGCGCTGAGCAAATGCTGGGCATTTTCTGATAAGCTTCTTCATAAGCTGAATCGGCGTCGCTAAGATTATGTACGCTGGAGAGCTTGGGTCCCGCTAGAATCTCCCTCTTCCGCTGCAAAACCCCATCATGCCATATAATCCCTGATCCCCACTACAACATATGGTTTTGAAAACAGATTCTAGTCCCGTGGCTATCCCAACACAAGGGCTCTTCTACCTAACGGAACCATAGAATGGATCCCTTTAGTTTCCCTTTGAGAATCCCAAATATAACCCACTTTCCCTAGTACTAAGCAGGGAGACTTTGCATGGTGCATCTGAGCCACTTCCTGCCTCGAACCTGAGTTGGCAGGGAAGGCTGGCAGGGTGGGCCTACCAAAATGTCAGAAAACAAGTGAATGAAATCAGCAGACATGAGGGTTTCCCAAGATTAGGGGGGTCCGCATAAAAAGGACTGTAGTACTTTGGGGTGTACTGGGGCCCCTCCATTTAGGGGAACTATCATCACATGGAAACTTTGCTGACAGACTGTGATATTCAGGCTTATACTTGAGGATGCGCCAAACTGGAACGCGATTTCCGCACGCAGACGGATGACAATCAAGCTGAACACTTGCAGCTGTCCAGTCACACAAAAGAAACAATGGTTTAGGGCGGGGACCTTACATCTGTGGCATACAGGGACACTATTCTTATTCTGGGAAACTACCACACATGCTCGGCCCGAGGTCAGACAACAAACCAATGACTTGCAGGCAAGGGGCTCAAAATACTCCATTGTGGTGAGGATTGCTTCGACCTGGGTCAGCTTGCCGTACCCTCCCCTCCAAAACAAACACGGAAGAGGTTTAGGTTGAGGGTTTAGGGATTAGGGTTCAGGGCCCCCCTATAGAAACATGGAAGCTGATATGCTCTCCTTGCAAATGACAGTCGTCCTGATAGCGGCCTTTTTGCGCCTAGGGGCCTTGATCTGTAACAACATCATGTTGAAGTCTGCTTTGAGGTACCCTATACTATCTATAATTATACAAGGAATCTAGGAGCATGAATATTCATAGTTGTTCAGGCCTCTACATTACATGCAAACTTGCAGGCTTTGGGCACAAGCTCACACCGATTACGCCCTGGAGAGCCCCTTGACTCCAGAACAATGGTTCTCAACTGTTGGAAGCACCAGAACTGAACTAGCTGGCGCTTTCGACCTCTGGGCTGCCAGCACACCATAAAGCAACATCCTGAACGTCCAATCCCAAGCACCAATTCCACCATAAACTCAACACTCGGAATGAATCCAAATAATCGACCTTCGCGTGTACATTGCTGCGCTACAGGGTCAAAGCCTTCCTCAAGATGCACAAGCTGTCCTATAGGGACCCAGAAAGCCATGGCAGGTGCCTCTGACTCCTCCAGGATCGCACAGACACGGTCCTGCCACATGGTTCAGGCTGCTGTCGAAAGGTTCCTCATGAAATTCGACTTGGGACACTATATCCGGGTGTTAGGGCTGTCAGGCCGAAGATTCTATCACTCGCATGTCACAAACTTCACTTGCCGTTCTGCCGGGAAACTGCCTTCTTCTGGCACCTTGTATTCGCAGGAATTCACTGACGGCAGAAAGTTTGGTACCATGCTGTGTAAGCCTCATTCTCTGTCCTAGACTTGGACATCCTTACACTGGGTACCTTTCGCCTGACCTCGTGCCAAAGTTGAGGGCAGAATGCCATATCCCAACAGAGATGGGTTGAGCTAGACTTCTTGCATCTGCGGCAGCTCCGATATCACTGGTGGCCGTAACATGGCGTCTCTCTAGCGCGCGGTCATTGAAATTTCAGTGGTTCTGACTGGAACTACGACACAAGGCGCCTAGCACAACCCTCTGCAGTCTCTCAATCCCTATGCTCCATTCCCCAGCCTGCTTCATCGCAGTCTTGAGGAGCTCCTTGACTGCCTGTCTTCAGAGAGGACAAGGACAAGCACGCAAGCCAGACGGCTAGGCCCCCACCCACTGATACAACAGCAAGGGATAGTGGCAATTATATTGGGCTCCCCGTTACTGGGCAGGGGCCATGCCCAACAGACAAGGATCCCTGCTGCTCAACACAGGTTCAGGGCGCCACAAAGGGGTGCATTATTCTAAGGAAGCGTGACTCAAAATGAGTCTTATACCAGTATCACAGCTTGCTGAGGGAGATGGACTCACGGAAGGGTATCAGCGGCCCCCTCAGCCCTTCATCTTCCAAATCAGGATTTGCAACTGCTGTTCTTTGTACACAGGTCTGTCAGTCATCTACCTTGCCGTTGACATCCAAAATCTGGTATTACACCAGAAAAGCGCCTTGTTCATCTCCTTTTTGATCTTGTGCTGTGACAAGTACTCCTGCCGGATGCGAAGGCATGTGCAGTTCTTGGTGGCTGATGACTCTTTCCGGGCGTAGGTTATGAAACAATCGCGCCATTCCAACTGCACCGAGCAGGCTGTTGAATTGAGGCCGCTCTATAGCTATGCACAATGCTGCAGATTCGTAGGTATCACACATCCCAGTTGCACCTGTCGGCTTCAAGCATTCACTGGACAACTCTATAGCACTCTGTCTAATTCGCAGACAGTGAAGTCAGGTCGCGTTCCCCCTGCAAAAAGGCACTCTGATTGGAAAGTGCTCGGGCTGCAAGCGTGCTCTTTTTGACACCAGAGCACGCGATGTCGCAAGTGCTCAACTTGCTTCTCAAGAACTTTGGCGAGCGACTTCAATCATGGGAATGTCTGCAGTCTCTGGTTCATGATCCCAGGCAACCCTCAAGATATTCTGGACCTTCAGCTCTGCTGTCACCTACTGAGGTAGAGGGAAGTCCCTTTGGGCCTTGGTGAAGCGAGGTCTGGGTGGCAAACATTCGCATGACTGCAAGATTGTTTGGACTGCCGATTGGCGTTGGATTTGCCTTGCGACTTAAGCTTAAGATAACGGTCTCAGTATGGCTGGTGGATGTCTGTTCCCTAGATCAGGTAATAAAGTCTGCATATACCAGAAGAGTGAGAATAAAAATCCCTCAAAATGGGCAAAGGGTTGAGGGGTCATCATGGAGTGACCCGGCTTTCGTTCCATGCTTAAAGCTCGTAGTTGGCCGCGGCTTGCTGGCCTCTACTCACAAGCCTCTGCTCCAAACATGAATCACCGTTGAAGATGTGCTACATTACCAAAACCAGTACTGTGAACCACACTTGAATTTCTAGGTAGATGCGCGTCAGCTAAACCCTGACGATGGTAAGGATGGAAAAACAGCTGGATAGATCCGCTACATGATCTTGCTGACAATAACCTAAACAAGGAAAAGAGATCCCAGGAAGGGCATGTGCTCGGATGCATTTCTGGCGGGTTAATGCACGGGCTGAGCCCTGCGGCAGGTCCAACATTTTGCTAGATAAGAGATGGCGGGCTTGCGCCATGCCTTCGAATCATACCTACTGCTCGTACTGTCACACATGGCAGGTTCCAGAAATAGGGAAACCCCAATCCCAATATACTCCATTATTCTATTTTCTTATGGGGACCCCCAATGAGGTACCCCGTATTTCAGAAAAAAAAAAAAACCCTAGATGACAGCACCACTCCCCAAGGATCCCCAGTATCAGCAGCACCACTACCACCGACATCATCATTACCTTCACCACTTCTTCTGCGACCAACTCCATCCCCGCTAACCACTACCACCAGCGCAGCCACCATCACCACCATCACTAACATTTTACTGTGACTTCTGCAGCCAAGAGTTTACGCCGCTGGACCTACGAACGACCAGCCATGAAGCAACCACAGCAATGCCATTCCTACTGCTATTCTCTTCAGCACTTCAGCCCTCCCTAACTACTGACTACGAGCAAGGCCTGGAGTGCCTTCTTGATCTCAGGCATGGACAGCCCGCCCAATTTCCAAGTCGAAACGTCCCATGGGCCATAGGACAAGAAGTGGCACTCAGGGATGAGAACCCGGGCAAGCTGGCAAACCTCATGGCCCCCTTAGGGATGTGGACAGCATGTATCTTTCTGCTGCCATTTCCGAAGGTCTACCAAGAAACTCAATATCACAATGCAAGACGGGACCACTCGCAACAGAGCCCCTGGAATCAGCCACCTGTGAAAAATGTCAGGGCTGCATACATACATACATTCATTCATTAATTCGTTCAGTCATCCATTCATACATGCGCATTCATGTGAAAATGTGCATGTATGTATATATACATGCATATATACATATATACATATATGTATTTATGTATATAATAATACGGGTAGAGCGCTCAATCCAGGATGGCCAGGTCGGCATGCCGCACGCAATACACGCGTCCAATGCCCCGTACGATAGTCCAGATTCCGCATCGTTCCTCTATTCATCATGACCTAGGACCCAGGCCCACATGCCAAACTCGAGACACCTCGAGACGTAGGATAACGTTGTTATCTCAAAAAGCTCCAAAGCTTACCCTGTTTTTCAGGCACCCAAGTGCATTCTGGATTCCGATGTACTTGAAGGAGTTGCTACGCATGACTCGAGACTCATCGCTTAGCAGCAAGCAAATAACCTCATATAGGCATCCTATATCCCATCGCATCACTCTCAAATAGGCTCTAAACTTTTCGCATAAAAAAGGTAATTCTACTAACTTGCCTACAAGAGTAAGAATAAGGGTACTGTAGTCCTAGTAACATTATAACTATACATAACTATCAAAGGGTACTTTGGATTTGTTCCATTCCTCCATGGTTTGACCTCAGCCCGTCATTGTCTCTGAGCCCTTCTTCTTGCGCCCAGAATGGAGGTGGCAAAAGTCCTCAGCTCCAAAGCACTGAGGTTGCAAGCTTGGGGCTTGGCTGTAGTAGTACTTACAAATTAAACCGATTGTGACGACTGAGGATAGTACTAATAATAGTGCTAGTACTAGAAGCAGTAGTAGCAGCAGCAGCAGTAGTAGTAGCAGTAGTACCAGTAAGAAGAAGAAGAAGAAGTGCCAGGCTTCATGGTTTTGGTTTTGGTGCCTAAGTTTTCGTGTCAAGCGAGGGCCCAAAGGATTGCTTCTTTCATTCTGCCTTGCAGAAAAGAGTGCGAAGCTTCCATGAACTTAAAGTTTGAGCGCGAAACAAGGAATCCCAACTTAGAGGTTTCCTTGTAGTGATAGTGATAGGTGGCGTTAGATACTTGGGCAGCTGTAGCCTTTACTTGGCTTTGGACATTTACTACACTACCCTGCTTCTGACTACCGATGAATCTCCAAGCATGTTCTGTTACACTTCTTGAAACTTCTAATTCCAGGAAACTACTCAGAACGGCTCTAATTCTACACCCTCACTGCGTTGATGCATCGTCAGAGGTCACTCGGCCTAACGTCCACAGCAAGTCATCACCAAATTGAAGATGAGCAGCACAAAGCCAGGACTTCTTACAGCGCCCCGGCACGCGCTCGAACATGCAGGGCCTGGAAGGCAAGGGGCTTTGCAAACCCAACAACAGGCCCTCCCTCAGCGTCCCCTCCATATAGAAACGGGTGGAACTTGGTTGACAACCATTTCGGCTGCTGGCGTCCTGGAATCCTACAACACTTGGAAAAAACAAGAAGAAAGAAACCTGCAAACGGGTCAGTGAAGACTGACAGATCCAACCACCAAACCGCCAAGCTCGGAACCCTTCCAGCAACCCAAAACCTCACCGTCGCGATCGCACCTGCAAGGCGCTCCGGTCTCGCAGCTGTGGACCAGGGACCCAAAAGAGCGCACCTGGTTCCCCAGAAAACTTGGAGAAAACACAG